AAAAAAGATTTCCAGGAGAGGGAGAGAGTAGATAGAGTCTTATAAAAGTGAAAACCCAGTGCAAGTTTCACAAATAATCACATTCCCCTAGCCTGATGAGCTGCAAAAAACAGCTTCAGAAAAGCGGTACCAGAGGCTGAGATTGCAGAGTCATTTTTAAACTCTGAAATACCCAGGAAATTTCCATATGCAGGAAATGAGTCCAGGCTAAGAAAATTCTCGTTTTAGGGCCCTTGGTCAGCACCTTATTTTTGCTTGGTTTGATTTACTTTGCTTTGGTTTCACATTAGTTCGTTCTTCTTGGAGAGTCAGTGCTCAGGCAGCTTTTGTGGGTTTCATATCCCCAGGGCAACCACGGTGTTGCTTGTTTTATGGAAACAATAGAATAAGAGCTACCTCTGGATAATCTGTACCTAGGCCTCAGCCACAAGATGACCCAGACAGTGTTGATTCACTTCTGGGTAGTGTATCTGTTCAAGTTTGAGTTGAAATAACAGTGACTCTTAAAAAAGAAAAACAACAGGCTGATTTTTCTCTCAACATACATGAAGGGTGGAAGTAGGACTGGTGTGTTGGGAACTCCGTGTTGCCAGCAGCATCCCAGGCTCCTGTCCTCCAGTGCCATCCAACCTCACGTTTGCCTCAAGGTCACAAAATGGTTTTTGGAACTACAATGGGTAGATCTACACTCTAGTCAGGAAGGAGGAGGAAAAAAAGGAGAGCTGCAGGCGCCTCTGCCGCGCGTGTTGCCTGTCAGTGCTGCTCCCGAGGGTAGAGAAACGACAACCCCGCCACATGGCTCTGCATCTGGGTAAGGGAGTGTTAAATGTCTTTCCTCCCGCAGGTATCTGTGGCTCCTGTGCAATGAACATCAATGGGGGCAACACTCTCGCTTGCACCCGAAGGATTGACACCAACCTCAGCAAAGTCTCAAAAATCTACCCTCTTCCACATATGTATGTGATAAAGGACCTTGTTCCTGTGAGTTCTGCATCTCCCCCCCCCCCCCCCCGTTTTGTTTGCCTGGGGAGAGGTGTGTGCAGGCTGTGCTGTTAGTTCTTTAATGCAGGCTTTTCTCCTGAGTTTAATTACGCAGTTTGAATGTTGGAAGATAAACACACCTACAAGATTCTCCGGCAGCTCATTTGGTGAAGATTGTTTGGGAATAATAGCGTGCAGAATTAGAGTTGGAACAGTCCTGGAAATAAAGAATTTGGCCATAACTACAAAGAACTCATGTGGAAAATACCAATTTGGAAAGCAACAGTTGTTTTTGCTTTAATATCTCCGTCCCTGTACTTGACCGCCTTCACTGATGGGGTGTTTTCAAGGGCAGATGGGATTGGAAGGTTCCCAAAGGGCTGAAGCATACCTACACTTAACACTGTGACCATTTCTCCTTTCAGAATCTCTGCACTTACCAAGGGCAGAGTCTGACTTCTGTCTGTCATAGGGCAGAAAAGTAGGCCGTGTCCAAGAAATGGGGTCGAGAAGAAAGCTAAGGGGTGAAGGTGGGATCTGACCCTTTTCTTCTTCCTCTTTTCCTCAGGATTTGAGCAACTTCTATGCTCAGTACAAATCCATTGAGCCTTATTTGAAGAAGAAGGATGAATCCCAGGAAGGCAAGCAGCAGTACCTGCAGTCCATAGAAGATCGGGAGAAACTGGTCATTACCCTCCATTTGTTTTGATTTGAGGAATTTTGTTGCGTAGATGTTTGCCAGGATGTGTGGGTTGAAGAGATGGGTGGGGGGGTAGCAGCATGAGATAATGCAGACCACGTGGTGTGTTCTGGAAAGGAACTTCAAAAGCATCTGTCCAAGGGTTGGACACCCATCCTCTGAGGGCCGGGTGGGTAGTGGGAGCAATGAAGGGCCCAGAATAGACCAAGGAGCTCAAGTGCCCACGTCCTGCTGCAAGGGGCAGTGCCCACCAAGTTGTCTTTTTCTAAAGAAAACAGGACGTGGGGCCGGCTGAGTGGCGCGATGGTTAAGAAAACAGGACGTGAATTGGCCCGTCCGTGCAAGTTGACGGCTAAGTCAGAACAGCTCTTTAACGCTGCGGGCAAATAAAACCCACTGGCCATTTGCGGTCTTGCTGCCCCCGCCCTGTTCTGTAGATGGGAGTAAAATAGTGAACGGGAACGTGGGACTAGAGCCTAAGTGACCTTGCCTAACACCACGTGTCCAGTGGCTGCCTTCGCACTGTCTGGGAGTTGCAGCTCCTGTGTCCAGGCTAGGAAGTCCTCGAAAGAGAAGGAGTTCTTCTCAAGTGTTTAGTCGCCTTCCCTTGCATAACTTTTCCCTCCTCTGAGAAGTCTCTGATTTGCATGCACACCCCTTACACTCTCAGTGTCCCTGTGGAGAGGAGGAGATGGGGAGGGGACCAAATGGAGTTGGGTCCCAACAACACGGCTGCACAAGGCCAAGGACAGGCTCTGTCTGACTCTCACGACTTCTTGTGTTCCTCCCAACACACCCCTTACCCTAAGAGAATCATTGACATTCTGGTCCATCGGCTGACTGAGCCGACTACAGGCTGTGTCTTACTTCTTTCTGGATCGTGTTATTTTATCAATAAATATTAGTTGTGTGAATGAATAAATGGATTCTACCTTTTAGGTCTGGGGAGTATATAGCGTTCTCCTGTTCTCCATAAAACGTTAAAACAAGAGAGCCCTTGTAAGAATGCCCGGCTCTGTCCTCATGGAGACCATGAGGGTCAACACATGATGTTGTGAGAGCAGCTGACTCCGCTTGAAAGAGTTTCTTGTTCTCAGGAATAGCTCTGCCCTCCATTTCTAGCTCCCAGGGAGCCTGCCACATCCCAGGCTCCAGGTTGGAACTGGCTACTCTTGTCCAACCCGTCATCTCGCATTCCTCGGGTAGCTCGCAGCGAGGAAACATCTCCTTGATCTCCTTGATGCGGTGTTAGGGAATGAAGGGTTCACTCAGCCTGTTTTCTTTTCTCAATAATCAATATGTACTCATTTAAATACCAACATCTGTTTATTTAGTATTTTTCACTTCCTTAAATTAATATGCTGAACTTTTTTCATGATTTTAAAAGCCGTAATGCTCATTGTAAACAATTGGAAAATACAGAGAACTAATTTTTAAAATAATCAAAGACCCCACCACCCAAAGATAACTTTTGTTGACAACTACCTTTGTTTTTCTTTTATATATCTTGACATAGCAGGGGTCAAAATGTAAAGATGCTTTTGTGTCTGCTTTTTCTCACTCATGTTATTGTGCGTGTTCTTGAAAATTCTTCCTAAGCGTTGCTTCCCCTTAGCTTCCTACTGCTCCAGGTGCAGGCACCTTGCCTGAGCTAACCACTGCCGTGGAGCGATGAGGTGATTTCCATTCTTTCCTGTTATGGAGAAGGCTAGATAAACATCTTTATCCTTCAAGTTCCATCCAAAAATTCCTAATTCATTTCTTGTTACGGATTTTTCTACAGGTAGACTAAAGAAGATGACTATCATTAAGGCGCTTTAATCCTCTTACCTTATGCTTAAAAGACCAGTGGGCCCAGGTTGCACTCATAACAGCTGCCTCAACACTACACGGCTTTTGTTGAAGACTCATGGTTACAATCGTAACCAAAACTCTGTATCATCTGTCATGAGCTGCCTCTTTAGATATCAGCGCGTTCTTCTGTTTTGCTTCTTTTAATCGGTTTCTGTTGGTCCCCAAAATCTAGAAGTCCAGTTTGGTAGAACTGGTTGGGCAGATAACGTCAGAGTGGCAGGTGTTAAGGAGCAGGGATTCCAGAGTCACACCCCCTGGGGTCCCATCCCAGCTGTGCTACTTGCCATTGAGTGACCCTGGGCAAGTGACCTAACCTCTCAGAGCATCAGTTCCTTACCCGTAAAATGGGACCCTTAATAGTACTCACCTCACAGGATTATTGTGATAACCAAATGCGGTCAAGTCCGGAAAGCACATGGTGCTCCATGCAGCTGGCTGTTATTTAGGGTGATGTTGACGTTCCCACTGAAAACCTGAGGTCCCCTCCCCTGGGCCAGGCGGAAGCTGGTGTAAACTGCTAGGTGCCTCAGCACCCAGGGCCTTTTAGTCTCTCTTAGACCGCATTCTAGGCAGTCAGGTTTTTTCATGATGGTGTTTGTTTCTTTTGTTTTTGTTTTAGATAAGTGGGGTTATTGATTGAAGGATAAGTACATTACACTTGGACTTAAGAATGCTGGGCTCTAATTCAGCAAATGTTTACATTTCAATTCCAAGATCTTTTTTATGAATCTGGTAAATCTCTGCAAACCACTGCTAGGATTTTGCCAAGAAAACACGCATGCAAGTAGGCACTTTGTTCATGCGCGGACCCCAGACCTCACCTTTAGTCACCTAAGGATGTGATGGGCCCTTTCTTTTCTCCCCACACAGGATGGGCTGTATGAGTGCATTCTCTGTGCCTGCTGCAGCACCAGCTGCCCGAGCTACTGGTGGAATGGAGACAAATATTTGGGGCCTGCAGTTCTTATGCAGGTAAGGTGCTCCGTAATTGCTTTAGGAGAAGTTTAAACTCAAGCATCCAGGAATTCCAGAGGACACTATATTGTTGGATACCAGTCATTCAGGGGGCAGTGACTCCCTTCATTGGCATCCATTACAAACAGGGTAATCAGTTGCATTGTCTTCACTTGGCTTTTAGTAAATCTAGGGCTTCGTCTGCAAAAGGCCTCCGTTTCAGTGTGGTGAGGGTCACGCCCGGGGTGGTGACATGCTGGTTGGCAAACCATGCCTTGCAGATATTTAAAAAGTGTTTCCTCTGCAGCTGGTGCTTACCCACTGGCCTACTTTCCTCAGACTGCATCTGTCGTGGCTCCCCATCTCCCTCTCGCAGGGATTTTGAAGGTGCAAGCGGGAGAGAGAAGTGTCGTTGAGGGGGCGACTGCCCAGCTAGCTGTCAGGTTGGAAATTGTTTCCAGGCTAATGGAAGCCTGGAGAACTGGGGTTAAGGGCTGCATAGAAAGCATTATTGCATTGCATTTCCTTTCACTCTATGAAAGTCACTGTCTTCATTCCCAGAAAAGTTATACATTTTAGATTTGTGGTCAGTGCCTTCCACAGACTCTTGAGCAACTCACAAAAACGTCTCATTTTCCCACAAAAAAGAGAAATGGTGCGGTTGTGTGACAATTTAGCAGTGTTGACTCCCAGCCACGGCCAAGATTGAATAATGAGGCACATTCACAGCTGGCACTTGAAGCGGGGGCCTGAGTTGTCAGGAAACATGGACGTCCTCTCAGTTACACTATCAGAGCAGGCCCAGTGGTCAGCAGGTTAGTCAGTGTTCAGCTGGTTGGTCTCAGGCTTCTGGGATAAATCAGTAAGTGCAGCAAACATTATCTCTAGACAGGTCTGTTAAGTCATCAGTTTACTCTAAGACAAGTGGGTAGGTGCCAGGAAGACAGATAGAGATTCATATGACACAGTCCCTGCCTTCACTAGTTCATAATTGGGGAAGGAAGCTAATGAGCAACTTGAAATCATTAGAAGATGATGCCTGATTGTATTTAATTAAGCACCAGGTGCAGTGGTTCAGAGGTTCGTGGGGGGTCATTAATCAAGAGAGTTGGGCGCCTTTCCTTGAAAGATGGCAAGAGCTAGAGTATGGAGACAAGGCATCGAAGCTGAGAGAACCCCCCGTTCTCCTGTGCTCCCGGAGCTGAGGTGGACCAGAGGGCTCCTCTGGCCGGTTAAGATGACAGCTCAGCCCATCCGTCCCTGTTTCCCAGGCCTATCGCTGGATGATCGACTCCAGAGACGACTTCACAGAGGAGCGTCTGGCCAAGCTGCAGGACCCGTTCTCTCTGTACCGCTGCCACACCATCATGAACTGCACACAGACCTGTCCCAAGGTACGCGGGGCCAGTGGCCCTCGGCTCTGCCTCAGAACTGAAGTGTCAGCAGTGGGGTGTGCTCGTGAAGAGGCAGCCGGCAGAGAGCAAGCTTGCCACTGGAGGTGGAGCGGAGCCAGAGTCTCCTCCACACACCTCTGAGAGCTTGTATGTGCTGATTTCTGATGATGCCTTAGTGTCACGGTGCTGTGGGACATCTTTTGGAATGTCTGGCTAATTTGGACACCAGCTACAGTCAGTGGAAGAGACACTCCTTCCTGGGTATCTTTGGGCATTCAGAGAACATGGCTCGGCCCTGGTCTTGTTTGCCTGCTGCAGTGATAAAACAAGACAGGGCTCTTGCCAGAGCAAGCTGCCCGTTTTTAAATGTCTGAAAGTAGACACGGAAGAGAGCTCGTCACCCCAGCCCCTGGGATTTAGAGGTGCTGATTTGCATTGACTCTGCTTCGACACTATCAGCTCGGGGTGGAGGAGTTTCACCCAAGGTCTTCTTCCATTCAGTTTCACTTATCATTTACTATTGATTCTCTTCTCTTTTTTCAAGGGGCTGAATCCAGGCAAAGCTATTGCCGAAATCAAGAAAATGATGGCAGCCTACAAGGAGAAGAAAGCTGCAGCTTAACTGTTCTCATGCTAAACTTGATGCATAGCCAGCTCAGCTGAACATAATTTATATCTAATTTGAGTTCCTTCAAAGTTCTTGATTTTCCATGAATATAGCATGTATAATAAAACTTATAAGAAATAAATAAATGTTATTCTACTTTATTAACAAAAAAGCATGCCTGTTCCTTTCACTTGCCACAGAGGAACGTTAAAGGTGCCGGAAGGAGGAGTCCATGGCCTTAAAGAGGGGCCAGGGCTCCAGCGCCGGGCCCCTGGGGGTGGGGGGTACAGCGGGTGCAAGCACGCAGCTGGTGTCGTGGAGGACCTGGGGCTCATTCCCAGCTTTGCCGTTCACCAGCTGCACGACCTCGGGCAAGTTCCTTCTCGTTGTGACTCCATCTGCCCACCTGTAAAATGGGAGTCATGGTGGTGCCACCTCACCCACCTGCTGTGAGCAGGCCTGGCACTTTGAGTGCTCAGTAAATGTTAGCTTCTAGTTATATAGCATCCCAGTTTCTACTTTCAACATCAGAAGTATTTAAAAGCAAAGCTTGGTAAGTCTTCTTTATCTCATAGAGGCAAGGTTTGCGATTCCTCCAGCACAGAGTAATGACCCAGATCAGCTGTGAACTTGAGTTAGTTCCCCAAATGACCTCAAAGGACCTCTCAAGGCAAGCGTGCATTCCCACCACCGTGGCCTTGGCTCTGCTACTTGCTACAAAAGTAGTAACACTCATTGAAAATGCAAACAGTGCAAAAGTATGTCAAGTAAAAAGTGGAAGCCCCCCAAAAAATCTCCCCAAATCCTACATCCCCCATTAACAGCTTATATATAATTTCCTTTCAGACTTTTATGTCATTACAAATGTGTGGCATATATAAAACTTCTCCCCTTCAAAAATAGAGCATGATATAATCTGTTAGCAGCGTTGTGGTTTTCCATTTTTAAATTGTTAAATACATAAAATGTATCATCTTAGCCATTTTAAGTGTATATTTCAATGGTATTAATACCATTGCATTACATTTGCATTATTGTGCAACCATCACCATCCCTTTCCAGAACTCTTCATTTTGCAAAACTGGAACTCTACCCATTACACAAAAACTCCCCACTTCCCTTCCCCATTGCCCCTCCCCCAGCCCCTGGCAACCACCCTTCTACTTTCTGTTTCTGTGACTTTGCCTCACATACGTGGAATCATACAGTATTTGTCTTTTTGTGACACTTGCAGTTAGCACAAAGCATCCATATTGTAGCATGTGTCAGAATTCCCTTTGTGGACAAAAAAGGGGTTCTACAGAAAGGAACCTCACAGGGTGATCTGATCATAAATTTGTAACTGGGCAGGCGGGTCATGGTGGGTAGTCCCGCCCCAGGCATGTAACTTTTAGTAAGAGGTTTATCTTCGCCTTAAGCCAGCCCTGTCCATTGTTTCTGTGCATCTAACACACCTTTGAAATGCCCCCTTTCAGACTCTCCTTCTAAAGCATGACCACCCTCAAGAGAGCACATACTCTTAACTATCCAATCCCTGTCTTGCTGTCTCCCACCTTCGTGTAATCTTCCCTACGTTCCCTCCTTAATCTCAAATGCATAAAAGAAACAGCAAACTGCTCGTCTCTGAAGCATGTATCTTTCAGTCTGTTGAAATATTGTTTCCAGGCATATCCTCTCTTTGACTCAAATTTTTTTATAAAAATTCTCTGCAGGTTTGGATGTTCTTACATGGACACCTCCCTTTTGAAGGCTGAATAATATTCCATTGTATGTATATATCACATTTTGTGTATCAGTTCATCCATTGATGGATGTGTGTGTGTAAAATGTATTTTCTGCCTTAGCCCTTTTTTAACCACGGATTAAGTGCTCTGCGGTGTAGATGCCCCACAATTTTTTTACCATTTCCCCTGCTATTTCATATTCAGATAGACCCTGTTTTCATTCAGAAATATCCCAGGGCTGCTTTTTAAGGTGTATCAGTGAGGTCGCCCGGGAAACAAAGGCTTCTTGTGTCATGAGGCAGGCAGCTAAAAAAAAAAATGACCAACTCACTGAGAGTGAAACTTTAATGAGCATTTCTGGCTTTTAAAAGGGACGATTTAAAAACACTACCCTCTAGCATCTCAAGACGTGAGGTGCTAATGTACAGATGAACAAGATTTGTCCCCTGCCACCTAGGAGCCAAGGTCACTAAGGAAAAAGGAACAAGCACTGAATTACTAGAAATTTAGAGAATGGTCTTTGCCCTTGGGTAGAGCATCTCAGAATTCTCAACCACCTCAGTATACAGTCTTCTTTCCAGAAGAGAGAGAACTGGGGAAAAAACCTCAGGCAGACCCCAAGCCACGTGCCTGGAGGGCAATCAAGCAAAAGCTGCACCTCATTGATTTCTGTCAGCCTCTGGAAGGTCACATTTCCTGGGATTCATGGATAATGTGACTTGGCCTCTAATGTCTGGGGCTGTAGAGAAAGTTGGGTTTTTCTCATGAATCACTTCATATCTTGTAAAGACAGCTCTGCAAACCCAGCCACTAATAAGAGGCAGAGTGTCACTGAGGAGTTGCCACTCAGATCAGCTTCATCGGATGTCAAGTTTGCAACTGTAGTTACTCTCCATTTAAACTCCAGCTAAACTGGAATATTTTATCAAAGGAGAGTTTAATTGGCTGCTTGTTTAATCTTTCTTGGGATTGCAGACAAATGTTCTATTTCAATAGTCACAAGGACTTTTCTAAGAAAACTGCTGACCTGACCAAAGAAAGACAGTATTTTATCCTTTATGTCCAGATGCTGTGCCTTCACACAAAAATAATACTGTGGAATGCTTCAAGTTTCGTGGACTGGAGCCGGCCATCTTTTCTTACCTGGCCTTTGGGCAAGTTGTTGAACCTCTGGGCCCCTGTTTTCCTAATTGTAAAATGGGAATTAAAAACATTCACTTCTCAGAATTGTGGTTGAAGTCTAAATAAGAATAAATGTGAGTTCTCACAAAACAAAACCCCAACAAAGTAAATATGAGAGGAGATGGATGTGTTCATTAAATCGATGGGGGATCATTTCAGTCATGTCACTGTGTATACGTGAAATGTCGTACGCTTTAGATATCTTACAATTTGGTCAATTATACCTCCATAAAGCTGAAAATTTTAAATAAATACTTAACATACTTTAATTTTCAAAACATAAAATAAATGTGAAAAGCACCTAGCCTGCAACAGAGCAAATGCTCCATAAACTCTGGATCTGTCTTGAATACCTACTGTGTGAAAGGCCATCTGATGAACCACAGGGACTACAAGGGTGATTAATTCCCAGCCCTCTGGACTTGACAGCTTGGTATATTTCTGGTATGACTGGCCAGAGTTAGAGACCTCCTGCTCAGAGGATGCTTTTTCTATGCAAGACTAACAATGCTCAATTTTCAACTCTCAGATCACAGAGACTGCTCAGTGCAGGAAGGGTGTGCCACCGGCTAACTCCAAAAACAAATTCTCCTCTGGCTCCTTCTCCTTGCCCAGGAAACTGCAATACAAATTGCTAAAACTCCACTTTATGTGTCTAGACAGCCATAATCTTGTCATGGGGTTTGTAACTAGGTAAGAAAATCCCTTTTGTTGCAAAAATCTAGGGAAATCTTGAGAAATTGAGAAGTGAGGCAATGCTCTAGAATAAACCAGTCCAAATGAGTGACTTCTCAAGCCTTTCGCCAGGCGTACTATGTCCTTCCTGGGGGCCCCAAAGGGAGCAGCAGCCCAGGAAGGGACGTTGTTCGATTGGTTCTGGCCCACAGGTGACTGGAGCCCAGCCCGCAGACCGCACAGTGAGAGCCACTTCCCCAAAGGTAACCTCGACAGATAGCAGGGCCTCCCACATCCTCTGTGGTTTGGAGGGAAGCTTCCTCTGGCCTCCTGCCCATCAAAGTGGTGGGCCAAGGAGCAGGTGCAGCTCCATCCCAGATGGATGAGGATGGAGCCTCTTGAATGCCAAACAGCGCTAACAGTACAAAGAGTGAAGGGGCCAGTCTTGCAAGGCAGTCCCCAAGCTCCCTGCTTTTATGAAGCGTCGAGCTCAGTGCCAGGATCTAAAGAAATTTAACTGGCTGTACCAAGCACCTGCCACTTTATCTCATCTTCTCGTTAACTTTCATTTTACCAATGAGTAGAGAGGCTCAGAGAGGGGAAACAGCTTTTTTAAAACTCACACAGCTAGAAAGCAACCGATGCACATCCAAATCTAGGTTTCTCCAGTGCCAGAGCCCACCAGTCCCTTGCCACTGAACCACGCTCCCTCTTGGCAAAGCCATCTGCCATCTGAGCAAGCCATTTTTCTAAACCAAACCGTCCTGCCTGCCATGGGAATCTGGGTTCCCCTGGTCAAGTGGTCTGCCAAGCATTGGGCTGAGCCTTGGAGAAGCAAATGGGGACTCTGAGAAGGCAAGTAGCCTGCCCCCACTGAAAATGTCATCTGCAGATGAAAGAGGTCTTCTCATCTGAGTGAAGCCAGTTCAGGCCATCCCACCACCCCCACTCCACTCCAGTGGTCAACCTGCTCCACCAGCAGCCTGTCCCAGCTCAGTAAATGGCTCCACTGTCCCCCCAAGCTGCTCAGACCAAAACCCTGGGAGGCATCTTTGATTCCACACATTCCAGCACCTCCACATCCCATCCATTAGCAAGTCCTGCCAACATTTATCCCTTTGCCAGATTTACTTACGGAGTTCTTGGTATATATCAGGTACAGTCAAGGACTTCCTTGCTTCCCTGCAATCTATTCACCATTACTCTCCATGGCAGCTCTGTCTCCTTCCAGCTCTTTCCTCAGGAGGTTATTGTGGGAGTTTTCCTCTGCTTACCTTTGGCTACTCATGTCTGTTTTGTTCAGCCTCATGTTTCCAGCAACTAGAACAGCACCCAGCCCTCCATAAATCCACGCTGGATGAATGATGATGGATCGGGTCCAGTCCTATCCTTGGCCCTAATGTTTTCCTTCCCTGGTTTGCCCCAGAGCCTGGGGTCTCTGATCCACCCTCCACCTTTGGAGGTCCTTAGTCCAAAGGCCACCGACCCTGAGGTCAGGAGAACACCACATCTCTGTACCTGTCACTGTGGGGCAATGTGATGAATGCTGCATACAAGTATGGGGTCTCCGGTGCCTCTCAGGGACCTCCATGCATCCCACCTGTGCAGATGCATCTGTGGGTCATGTTGTGAGACTTCTGGGGTCTGGGTTATGCTATTTCTCTGGCATTTTAAAGGCCCCCTGTGCATCATCACAGAGCTTCCCTGTGTCCACACATATCTCTGTGGGGCATTATCTGACCACGCTGCTTTGGACAAGTGTGTCTCCCTTCTTTGACATTTACTGAATAGTGTCAGGCACTGTCCCAAGTGCTTTACATGCTTTTTCTCATTTGATCCTCACAACAACTTTATGAAGCAGGCGTTGCTAATGTCATTGCCACCCTATAGATTAAGAAATGAATCCCCCTCAAATTCTTTTTTTTTTTTTACTGCAGCCCACGCCGTCGCCGGCGACTCACGGCAGCCCAGCTCCAGGTTGAGCTGTTGTTCAGCATCTTAACTGTGGAGGGCAGTGTCACTGGCCTTCATATGTGGGATCCGAACCGGGGCCCTCTGGCGTCCCAAGCCAGCTCTTAACCAACGTGCCACTCGGCCGGCCCCATCAAATTCTTTTTAATAAAAAAATCTTTTTAAAGAAATGAGGCCCAGAGACGTTAAATGACTTGTCCAAGGTCACACAGTCTAAAAGAGATGGAGCCCACCTTGAACCACTATGGTATGCAACTGGGGCTGACTCGAAGTGTGGAGTGTGGAGCGGGTGGGTGGGAGTTGTTACATCTGTGTTTCTGAGTGTCACACCACTGTGTATGTGTGTGTTGTATCTCAGCGTCACCTATGTGAGTGAATCTGTGTGTGTATGTGTGAATCTGTGTGCTGGGATTCTGTATGTGTGTGTCTGAGGTTGTTATGTACCTGTGTATTTGTGTGCCAGAGTTGTCCTGTTTCCCTGCGTCCCGCTTTTGTGTGTGTATTCCTAAGGGTTATTGTGTCTGTATCTCTGTGTCACACCTCTGTATGTGAATTGGTATGGGGTGGAAGGCGTGTTAGGTACTTGTGTTTGTGTGTCTGAGGGTTTTCTCCAAGTGTGTTCATGTGTCTGAGGGCTGTCCTATCGGATTCCCTGAGTGTCGCCCCCTATCTGTCTGTGTGTGGTCCTGTCGGATTCCCTGAGTGTCCTCCACTCTGTCTATGTAAGAGCGTATGTCTGAAGGCTGTCCCATCTCTGTCTCTGCGCCTGCCTGAGGCGTCTTGGACTACAAGTCCCAGCAGGCCCCGCGGCGCGGCGGGCGGACGTGAGGCCGCAGTGGGCGGGGCGGGGCTTGGCGGCGCTCAGAGTCCGACTGCGGAATCTTCCCAGGCGTGCTCCCCTCTGGCTGCTGCAGCTGACCCGGGCCTCCTTGCTCCGCTGCGCCCCCGCCCTCCGCCCTGCGCCCCCGCTGCGGGCCTTCGCGACGCCCGGGCCCGGGCCTCGGGCCGCAGCGCCGGGGCCGGCGATGAGCGCGAGGAACCAGCATGAGCGCAGGTGAGGGAGCGGCGTGGGCTGAACTGGAACCGGGCGCGGTCTCCGGGCCGCCAGTCGTCGCAGCTGCCGTGGGGCGACACCCCCACCGTGGGGTCGCGAGCCAGGGGAGCGATCCCAGGGGGATCCTCACGCCCGTCCCCTTCCCCGTCACGAGGAGTCAGCCCCGGGGTCCTTCCCAAAGAGGCCAGGAGCCCGGGATGGCGACGCATAGAGCCGTCCCCTCCCCTCCTTCCGACAGCGCTGGGAGAGGACGCTCCCGGCGCTTGTGCAAGGGGTAATTGGAGGCCCGCGGTGGTGGGGGTTCGGGAGACGGCCCCACTCCCACTGGACTCGCTCCGGCGAGTGTGACGGATGTCCAGGTGGGGGAAGAGACTTGGAGACCGCAGCATCTGGGGGCCTCTAGGCAGTTTTTCTTCTTGGCTGAATTAATGAATGGGGTTGGAGAAGCCAGTGCTCCTGAGTCCCTGGGTCAAAGTGTCCTGGTACACAAAACGACACCCTGATCCCCTGCCGCAGGCCCATAGAGGAATCCTTTCAAAAGCAAGGTCCAAGGACCACACCTTCCGTTTTACCCATCCCCGGCCAGCTGCCTCAGGCCCATCCTTTTCAGAGTCTAACTTAAATGCTACCTGCTGTGAATGGGGCCAATAGACCTCTCCTATCCAGGAGGGTCTCCGTCTCTGTGTGGCTCACTCAGACTCCAGACCTCAGCAAAGGACCCACCAGGGCTTGAGCGTCCTCTCTGTAGCTGCAGACCCCCCTCAGTTTAGATCTCTCCTTCCCCATCTGCTCCCTCAGGCCCCACTCCCCAAAGTCTAGAGTGCACCCAGGGTGAGGGGAGGGACAGGCTGAGGAAAGATGGCCCCCGGACTCCAGATTCAAGGATCAGGGTGCTACTGACAGATTGTCCCTCACGCCCCTAGGCTGGCAGTGGAAAGGAGCCCCTGGCCACAAGGGAACCACAGCAGTGCTGCCTCTGCTAGGTCCCCAGCAGGAAGCCAAGGCTTCCGCAGGAAACGAGGTCCTCAGATGTCTTTTGACTCCAGCCCCTCTGCTCTGCCTCAGTGCCAGGGAGTCAGGCTAGGTTCAAGTCTAGACTTGGCCACTCGTAGCTGTATGACTTTGGACATATTAATCAGCCTGTTTGTGCTTCATTTTAAATGGGGCTTTTAACCCGTGCTTTTATGGGGTGGCTGTGAGGATTAAAGGAGAGGAATGTGTTAATTCAGATCACTCATTTCCAGCTTCTCCCCTTTCAAGCTGTATGATTAGGGCAAGGGACTTGGAAGACTTGTTCCTCAGTTTTCCCAGCTGTAAAATGGGGATAATTGTCGTCGTCCCCGCCGCCTCAGAGGGTTATGTGTGAAGATCAGTCGCTTTTATTCAGAAGAGCAATACAATCATCATGAAAGTATTCTCATCCCATGCAGCCTGCGTGTGCCTGCTGTGAGCTGGTGGAGCAGGAGCGATCAGACACTGCCCTGCCCTTCCTGTGCCATCCCTGGGGAGACTGAGATGTGACTAGAGATAAACAAGCACATCAGAGTTTTTTGATGGGTGTCCTGCTGGAGAGAGCGCCCTGGGCTGGACCTTGCCTGCCGAGAGACTAGGGGTTCCACAGATGTGACTTCCTTCTCAGGCTCCTCTCCCTTCTTCCCACGGTTGACTGGGAGAGCATCCTTGCAAAATGACCGGCATGTGATAGACACAAGAAAGTACTTCCCACAGGGGACATTGTTTAGATCTTGGGGGAAGTAAGCAAGTGAGACTGGCACAAAACGGTCATTGGCAAGGCCCTTTAAGAAGGGGCTCGCACCGCTGAACTTCACAGCTGACTGACCCAGAGGCAGGAGATGGACACACTGACTCGTAGTACCATTGCTTCCATGCTGTTATGTCAGTGAGATGTGCATTCATTCCTCCATCCATCCATGCATCCATCCATCCATCCAATAAATGATTCCTAAGCCACAGCCATGTGCCAGGCACTGTGAGCAAGACGGGCGATGACACCTGTGCCAGCCTGATGCCATGATGGGCGTTGGTGGGCCTGGGTGAAATGGGCAGAAAGGACTTTGGAGTAAGACGTACGCTTTCCAGCTGCGAGACAAATCCGTGGGCAAGCTGCCTCTCCGAGGCTCAGTTTTCTCAGGTATAAAATGGGAAAAGTTGCAGGATTGTTGCAGGATGAAATCAGATCAGCACGAGCACGATGACAGTTGAGGTCAGCCCATGCTGTCCTGTCCCCAGCAAGCTGTCCGCCTGAGGGTTTAAGGCTCCGAGATAATCTGTTGAGTGCACGTGGCAGCAGCGGCACAGCTGTGGGTTTTCTGGCAGGGTGACAGGAAAGCAGAAGGGAGCCTGAGAAATGGGTCAGAGCAGAGCCACGCCTCCCTGGCAGGGGAGCCGGCAGTACCCCCCTGTGCAGGGCCAGGCTCCTGGAACTTCAGACACGTGGGTGGCGGTTGCTCATGGTTCCTCCTGCGCCAGCTGCTTCAGGGCTATGATCTTGGAGATGGGAAGTAGAAACCCAGAGAACCTAAGGCACTTGCCTTGCAAAACACGGCTTGCTTGTAAGAGCCAAGAGCACAATTACTGATGGCGACAACGCTGATGGTGGTGGTGGTGCCAGGGTGAAGAGCGTGGACCCTAGAGCCACACTGCCTGGATCCGAATCCCACCACTCGCTGGCTGCATGGCCTTTGGGCCACTTACTTCATCTCTCTGGGCCTCAGTTTCCTAATTGGTAAAATAGGGATAAAAGGAATACCTGCTTCATAGGAATAAATGAATTAACGTATGTAAAGCCCTTGGAGCAGGGCCTGGGCTGTGTCAGCCCCTCACAACCTGAGGTGCTCTTTCGCCTTACGCCATAGAAACACAGAACAACCATAAGGCGCGAAAAACTACCCACCCTGCCTCACTCTGAGTTTCCAGGGCAGGTGAGGGGCTCCCGGCACAAGAGACTGCGGGGACTCCAGGAGGGACAATGGAACTGCGGCCTTTTGAAGTGGGGCAAGAAAACATCTGTGGCTTGGTGGCCGAGGACCTGAGAACCCAGTGTTAGTTGTTCTGAATGGCTGCTCCTCTGCCCCCAGGCTGGGAGCCAGACAGCAGGGGGGCCCCAGCTGTTTGTTGTCTGTGGGCTGTCCTCCGGAAGGGAAGGAAATGATGTCGTGACAAGCCTCACTCACAAACTGGGCTGGGCCAGAGAGTGAAAGGGACCACCCTAGGGGACCCGGGCTGGGGTCTCTGAGCCCCAAGGCAGAAGGCTGACCTGGACCCCTGCCCCTCTTGCCTTAGACTACCGCCGGCCAGAGACCCTATGGTTGAGGGCTACAGGCCCCACTCGTGCGTGCACAACAGGCTGTGGGTGGAGCTGGTGGCTCCATTTATTTCCTCAGTCACCTGAGTGGACGGGGAGGGATTGGCTGTAGGCGGGGCTTGGGCTAATTTGGTTGGTGAGTCATCAGGTTGACAAGCTTCAGGAGGTGCAGGGCTTGTGCCCTGTTCTCTGAAAGGGCCCACAGGGGCCCCCAAAGCACAGGATCTAGGCTCAGCGTTCCCAGCTCCACCATTTACTAAGGGGTCTTTATGCCTCAGCCTCCGCTCCCTTATTTGTAAAATGAGACATGGTGCTGGAGAGTTAAACGAGCTAATTCGTGTCAAGTCTTCAAGTGGCTCTTGTCACCTGGGAAGTGCTTAATGGATGTGGGCTGCTCTTATGATGGTCATTACCATAGTAATGATCACTATCATGAGTCAGGGAGATGTGGGAGCTGGGATAGGAGAGAACTGACTGCCTGGCCTGATGGGGACACATGGCCCCCAATCCTCTGGGTATTCCCAGGTGAAGAAGCAGAGAGATTAGAACCCACTCGGACCTGCCTGCCTAGGCTTGCGTCCATCCTGGCACTACCATGGACTTGCTCTGTGACCTTGGGCAAGTTACTTAACCTCTCTGAGCTTCATTTTCTTCCCAAAAAAAGGGGATAATAATTGTGCTTACATGGCAGGGTTATTGTGTTAACCATGTAGAAAGGGCCAGGAGCAGAGCCTGCACATAGTGAGCCCTCGGAAAGGTTGCCTGTTATGGTTGCTATTAGGCTGGGGGTGGGGGTGGGGGTGGGGCCGATGCTGCTGAATCCCACGTATTTGGGGATGGAGCAGCTCAGGGGCTGGATGTTGTGACAGTGGCAGCTGCCTGAGCAGCTTTTTGAGTGGAAACTTTTAGATCAGGCCTCTGCAAGGCTCTGTTTGGGGAAGAGGAGGGAGGGAGCCCAGATCATCACCAGCCCTCCGCCCCGCGCCCCAGCCTGGCTTCCCGTTCCCCTTAGTGAACTTTTCCAGAGGCTCTCTGAAACGTGCACATGGCCAGCACCACAACCATTGCTCCAGGTCCAGGGACCACGGTTAGAGAAACCCTGGCAGAGGCCGCTCAAGGGTGGGAGCAGTGAGCCCCACCCCCTGTAGGGCCAGAGAACACCCACTGTCTGCCTGCCCTGCTAGGACCACAGCTCCACAGTAGAGGAGGCAGGAGAAAAAAGAATGTCTGCAATAAAGCCACCTGGCGCTGTTTGTTCCCTGAGCCTCAGTTTACCTGTCTGTAAAATGGGGGTGATAGCAGGGCCTTCCTCACAGAAGGAACCCTGGTGACTGTTCAGCTGGGCCCTAGCACATAGCAGCTTCTCTCCACAGACCTGGTGGGGGTTTGCTCAGCTCACCCCTCCCCTCCGGCCCACCTCTCACCCCCCCTCCCCCCACCCCCGGTCTACCTTTGGAGCGGGCCTGCCCTGAAAGGCAGGCCTGACATTTTATCAGCCCAGACTCCACGTCTCAGCATCACCTCACTGCCAGGCCTGTGCTGGGCAGGGATGATGTGTTCAACAAGGATTAAGCAGCCAGCCGATCCAATCCTGCCCTCAGGGTGGGGATCAGAAGGACAAGTGGGACACAGAGCTCCCCGGAAGCTAATAGCTGGCTGTGTGAGCCCTGTGGAAGCTCACGGCGCTCCTCACGCCCCATCCCCCCATCCTGGGCCCACACCCAGTCAGAAATCACCAGACACACAAGGAAATAAGACACACTGAATGAGAAGCAAACAGACCAGCTGGACAACAGACCCAGGAAGACTTGAGCTACTGGGTCCATCACACCAGCTTATAAAATGACGATGCTGCTTATGTTTCAAGAAATAAAGAGGAGCATCCCCCCAAAATGGCCTTTCTTTTCTCCATCCACAGACAGCAGCCCTCTCGTGGGCAGCACGCCCGCCAGTTATGGGACCCTGACGATAGAGACATCTCTAGATCCCCTCAACTCCTCAGTTTCATCCGTGGTATGTGGGCAAGGGAGGGGCAGGGGAACCCCAGGTGGGACTAATACCCCCGCCTGCTAGACCCCCGGGTTTCTTCTCCAGCCCTGCCCTGCCCCCACCTCAGCCTTCTCTCGCCTGTGTCCACAGAGGCTCAGCGGCTACTGTGGGAGTCCATGGAGGGTTATAGGCTATCACGTCGTGGTCTGGATGATGGCAGGGATCCCTTTGCTGCTCTTCCGGTGGAAGCCGGCATGGGGGGTGTGGCTGCGGCTCCAGCCGTGCAACCTGGCCCGCGCCGAAACACTCGTCATCGAAATAAGAGACAAAGAGGTAAGAGGCCAAGCAGGGGGTGCGGAGGATGCTCGGGTTCTCAGCCCACTTTTGGTGGGACCTCCTGTAGGGTTTTCTCTCTGGACCTAAGCTGGCCCATCTGAGCTGTGGATACCAGGGGCAGGTTGGGTGATTGCTGAGGAGGTCACCTACTTCTTTGATCCTCCTCCAGCAGGGAGAGGTCTGAGAGGGGAGGGGTCTCTTCCAGAACTAAGTCCACACCTACATGTTCCAGGATAGTTCGTGGCAGCGCTACACTGTCCAGGTGCAGACGGAGGCCATCAGCGAGGGCAGGTGAGGCAGCCCCATCGCCCCTTCCCAGAAGCCCGTGCTCCTCCGGCCCCCCACTCACAAAAGCTCTGACCTTGGTGCTTCCTATCCAAGGGAGGGAAGGTGGCTGTGGGGCTGGAGAGGCGCTGGGGCAGCTCCCAGAGCCCCACAGTAACCCCCATGCCCTTCACCAGCCTGGAGCTGCCCCCACAGACCCAGGCAGAGGATGGCCGGAGCCAGGCGGCTGTGGGGGCAATACCAGACGGCGCATGGAAGGACACCGCCCAGCTCCACAGGAACGAAGAGGCAGTGAGTGGACAGGTGGGTTTTGGACAGTCCTTGCCACTTTCTGGGTCTTAGTTCCAAACTCTGTACAATGAGGGGTTGGGATGGACTCCATGTTCTCCAGACACCTCTGGTCCTGTTGTCCCAAATGTGCAGGATGCCGGCTGATCACCTTTACCTCCAAGCCTCTCAGCCTCTTTCCTGTGACACTGGCCCCTCCCCTCCCCCACGCGAACCCTGCCCGTGGGCTGCCGCCAGCCCAGCCTCTCATCTCTCCCACCCAGCAGCAGGTCCTGCGCTACTACCTCTTCCAGGGCCGGCGCTATGTCTGGATTGAGACCCAGCAAGCCTTTTGCCAAGTCAGGTAGGGGGCAAGTTTTGAGGCTCACCCCATCTTCCACAGCTGTGCTGCTCTGGGGGGAGCAGGTAGCAGGAAGTGGCCTGGCCTGGGCTCCGCTCTCAGCTCTGTGCCCTCCTGCAACCATGGGCAAGTCACCGAGCCCCTCTGGGCCTTGGGGTCCCTGCAAATAGGGCATGAAGGGAATCCCTGCCTCCTGGAGCTATTTTGACAGTGAAATATATTCATTCGCTTCATGTAAAGCTTGGCACAGCCTCTGGCCGAGGTAGGAACACTGCTGTGAACCAGTAGGCACTGGACTCAGACCATCTGGTTGGGGTCCTGGCCCTGCTCTGCCACCTATTAAGTACTTGATAAATGTGAGCTCATGACACATCTGAGCTTGATCCCCAAGAAGCAAACCCCGAGACAGGGATTCAAATGCAGAGAGTTAGTGTGGAAGGCGATCCCAGGAAGCACTGTCCCCTAGGGGATCTCTTTGGGCACATGTAGAGCATGCACCTCAGGGTGAGGAGGCCTCTCTACCATTGCTGGTTGCGGGCTGCTCCTGGGGAACTCTTTTGCACTTTGCGAGCAAAGCGAGCTCCCGCAGCCAGGAGAAGCCCTCAGGTAAAGACAGCTGTTTGCTGTAAGCTTCTGCATCGTACAGAGGTGAGTGCCAAGGAAGTGTGGGGCTGGCACCAACAGCCTCTGGTACATAAGAACAGCAAAAATCATTAGCGTGTTTGTCCCTTAGTAAGTTCCAGGGACGTCCAAGCACGTTGCATGGCTTATCTCATTCAATCTATCTGTATGTACCCTTGTGAAGTAGGTGCTGTCACCAATCCCATATTGCAGATTAGAAAAACTGAGGCACAGAGAGGTTAAGTGACTTACCTAAGGTGTCATTCATTGCTGTTGTCATTATTAAATATCATTATCTCTCATCGTTCTCCTTCCTTGCTGAGATGGTTTGGGGTCCCAGTCAGAGGAACCAAAGGAGAAAGTTAAGCCCGGAGTTCGGGAGGGACCTGCTTTGTCCTGGTTAGCCGAGTGTGGCAGAAGTGGGCCAGAAGGGGTGGGGGATGCAGAGCTCGGGCCCCGTCACCTATACAAGTGCCCCTTCGCGTCCTCCCCAGCCTGCTGGACCACGGCCGCACCTGTGATGACATCCACCACTCCCGCTCCGGCCTCAGCTTCCAGGACCAATCTGTGAGGTACGTGTTACCTTGAACCAGAGGTGACCTGAGAGCTGGGGACCCCTATCTTACCCGCTACCCGGGTGTTGCCTTCTAGTCAGCTGCCTTCTCTGGGCCTTGGTTTCCCCAGCTGTAAAATGGGGAGCTCTATTGCCCCTGGAGAATCCAGATGCCAAAGCTCCCTCCATCTGATGACCTTGCCGCTTCTGTCTTACAGGAAGACCGTCTACGGCCCCAACGTGATCAGTGTACCAGTCAAGTCCTATCCCCAGCTGCTCGTGGACGAGGTAGGCTGTCTCTGGGCCACTTCATAGTGGCAGACCAGACCAGCTACCCCCTTCTCCATAGTAGAGTCATCTCAGACCCAGCCCCAGTCAGCTCAGAGCGAGGAATTGGAGGTTCTGGTCCAGACGGGGGACCAGAAGCCAAGAGATGAACCCACACAGCCTGGGTTTCTGCTCTGTGCCATGAGCCATGCTCCGGAGTCCAGGTTTCTTCTGCACCCCATCCTCTTTCATTCTCCCCATAGCTCCTTGAATAGGGACAAGGAGTAAGGACACCCCATTCATGCATGAGGAACCTGAGCTCCAGAAGTAGGACGTGGCATGGCAACGGTCACACAGGGACAAAGGGAAGCCAATGACCCAGACACGTCTTGAGTACACTGTTAGCATCCCAGCCCTCCGAGCCAGGGCTGACATCTGTGAAAGGGAGAGGCGGTCTCGGAGTCTGGCCTGATGTAAACCCTGGTCAGCCACTTGGGAGCTATGTTTTAGGAAAGTGATTTGACCCTTTTGTGCCTCAGTTTCCTCATCTGTAAAACGGAGCTGATGATAGCATCCGCCTTGTGCAATTGTCATCGCCGTCGTCTAACACTTAGATGGAGTACTTCTCGGGGGCCTAGCATGTAAATGCTCGTGTCTTCTTTAGAATTAAGAAGTTGGGGGCTTGCTCAAGAGTGTGAGCTCTGAGCAACAGGGTCGCTGGTTCAATTCCCGGCCCGAGCTGAGCTGCCAACAGGTGGCAGGATGGCTCAGCTAAAAAAAGAAAGAAAGAAAGAAGCTGGGGGCTCGAGGGACATCTGCACGGCACTGACCAGGAGAAGGGCCTGGTTATGAGGCCACAGGCCCTGACGCTACCTCCTGCCCCTCCCCCAGGCGCTGAACCCCTACTATGGCTTCCAGGCCTTCAGCATCGGGCTGTGGCTGGCGGACCACTACTACTGGTATGCCCTGTGCATCTTCCTCATCTCCTCTGTCTCCATCTGCCTGTCGCTGTACAAGACCAGAAAGGTGGGCGATGTGAGGTG